TGGCAGGCAGATTCCTAACCACTGCGCCACCAGGGAAGTCCCGCTCCTACAGTTTTTAAATAAGTTCACTTCTACCTTTCACTCTGGTTCACATACACTGTACTCTGGCCCAAAGACTGAAGTGACTGATTTCTTTTAAAATGTTATCCTTAGTACATGCACCCCAGTGTCCACTGCAGCACTGTTTACAATAGCCAAGACATGGAAGCAACCTAAATGTCCATCAACAGAGGAATGGATAAAGAAGATGTGGTTCATATATACAATGGAAGATTATTCAGCCATTAAAAGGATGAAATAATGCCATTTGCAGCAACATGGATGGACCTAGAGATTGTCATACTGAGTGAAGTAAGTCAGAAAGAGAAAGAGAAATATATGATATCCCTTATAAGTGGAATCTAAAAAGAAATGATACAAATGAACTCATTTACAAAACAGAAACAGACTCATAGAGAACGAACTTATGGTTACCAGGGGGGAAGGGTGGGGGGAAAGGATAGTTAGGGAGTTTGCGATCAATATGTACATGTTGCTATATTTAAGATGGATACCCAACAAGGACCTACTGTATAGCACAGGGGCCTAACTCTGCTCAAAGTTATGTAGGAGTCTGGGGGAGAATGGATACATGTATATGTATGGTTGAGTTGCTTTGCTGTGCACCTGAAACTATCACAACATTGTTAATCGGCTATATTCCACCCCCACCTCCCAAAAAAAGGGGAAGAATTCTGTAAGTTCCAAATTGGGATGAAAACTAAAATTGCCTGAAGTAAAAAAAAAAAAAAATGTTATCCTTAGGAAATAACCTTGTTGGGGTCCAAAAATTCCAAGCAAAAAGAGGAGAGCACATCTATGGCAAAGAAGGACGACTGTACTGAGGGTTCTGCAAAGATCATACAACTCGAGATAATCTTCAAGGATTGGTATCCCTGTCCAAATCTTTATCATACCATACCTACAGCCTCAATGCTGTGAGTCACTTTACTGTGGCAGCCAGGCACAGGATCGATTAACTTTTTCTTCTAAAAAGTTAATGCTACACATCTCCAGTTGAGGGGCAAAAATCATGAATATGAGACAATTTTTCTTTGAAACCAAAACTCTACTTTAAAAGGATATGTGGGCTTCCCTGGTGGCGCAGTGGTTGAGAGTCCGCCTGCCGATGCAGGGGATGCAGGTTCG